CAAAAAAAAAAAAAAAAAATTCATGTTTCTGAAGATTCAATATTTTTAAGATATTTGTTCTTTCCAAACTGGTCTATAACCTCAGTGAAATCCCAGTCACAACAATCCCTCTGCCAACTTTTTAGATAAAAATACACTGAGGGACAGTTAAGAAAATGAATAGTCAAGCCCCAGGTTGGGAGTAAATATATGGAAAACAAGTATCTGACAAAAAAGACTAGTGTCCAGAATACCTAAAGAACTCCTGTTGCTCAGTAACAAAATAAATAGCCCAATGTTTAAAAAGTGCAAAGTGTTCGAAATGTTTCACAAAAAAAGACATATAAATGGCTAATAAGTACAGAAGAGCTGCTCGACATCACCGGATATTGAGAGAACACAAAATGAGATAGCACACACATCCATTAGAAAGTCTAAAATGATAAAAGACTGGCAATACTTCTCTCAAGTATTGGTGAGAATGTGGAGCAACTGGAATGCTTATACATCAAAATGGATAACGACACTGGAAAGCAGTGTGGCAGTTTTTAATAAATGTATACTTACCATATGTCCCAGAAATTTCACTCATAGTTTACTTGCCCACGAGAAGTAGGAACACATGTATTTGCACATACATGTCCACAGCAGCTTTATTTCTAACAACCAGAAACTGAAAACCATCCAATGTCCCATTCATCAACAGGTAAATAGGTGAACAGGCAGTGACAGATTCATTCCATGGGGTATTATCACAAATGAGAAAGAATGAACTTCTGATACATGCAACATGGATACTCAAGAACATCATTTTGAGTGAAAGGAGCCAGAAATGAGAGCACACGATACAGTTCTACAAGCACCTGAAGTGTAAGAAGCCATCTATAGTGATAAGAGGCCAGACCAAGGCTGGGCGCATGGCTCATACCTGTAATCCTAGCACTCTGGGAAGCTGAGGCGGGAGAATCGCTTGAGCTCAGGAGTTTGGGACCAGCCTGAGCAAGAGAGCGAGACCCCGTCTCTACTGAAAAAAAAAAAAAAAAAACAGGCCAGAGGTGGCCCAAGTGTGAGTGGGATCGGTCCTTGAAGGGCTCCAGGGAGCCTTCCCAGTGCTGACAGTGTTCTCATCTTCCTGGCTACCGGATGCTTACATTTGAAAAAATAAAAAATCATTTAACTCTTCATTCAGTGGTTTGTACTGTATGTAAATTAAATCTCAATAAAGTTGGTAAAAGAAAACCAAGGTGGCAGTTGCCCTTCGGGGGTAGTAGTACGAGGGCACCGGGACTTCTGGGTCGATGGTACCATCCTGTCCCTGAATCTGCACCTACTTACAAGAGGGTGTTCCTTTGTGAACAATTCAGTGAGCTCTACATTTATGGTCCTTTTCTCTATATTAATTATTATTATTTTTTTTTTTTGAGACAGAGTCTCACTCTTTACCCCGGGCTAGAGTGAGTGCCGTGGCGTCAGCCTAGCTCACAGCAACCTCACACTCCTGGGCTCAAGCGATCCTTCTGCCTCAGCCTCCCAAGTAGCTGGGACTACAGGTATGTGCCACCATGTCCGGCTAATTTTTTCTATATATTTTTAGTTGTCTGATTAATTTCTTTCTATTTTTCGTAGAGACGGGGTCTCGCTCTTGCTCAGGCTGGTTTCGAACTCCTGAGCTCAAACAATCCGCCTGCCTCGGCCTCCCAGAGTGCTAGGATTACAGGCGTGAGCCACCGCGCCTGGCCAATATATTAATTACTTCTTAATTAAAATAATGAAAAACACTCAGTGAGAGAAGAACAGAAGGGGAGACTGAGCAGGCTCATGTTCACCTTCCCGCTCCTGTGCACGCCGGTCTGCCGCACCAGGTAGGTGTGTGATCGAGCTAGCAGGAAGGTAGAATAATGAAGTTGAGTAATTTGGAAACTTTTAGTTTCAAATGTACTTTTGGCCAGGTCTTTAGCTTTGAAATCCCGTTTTGCTTTATAACAGAAGTCATCTCCGGGTCCTCCCGACAGGCCCTCAGGCCACTGAACCGTTGAGCTGTGGAGCTGGTTGGTGTTTCCCTCTTTGTGTGAGCAGAGGGGTTGGATTTATTATATGTATACATTGTTATTTTGTGGTATTATTCTATTTTTGTAAATATCCATGTATGTGCTTATCAGAATTACGTATCTTTTCACATAGGAATAAATATACAATGAATATATGTGTATGCTATTCCCTCTCTCCATATGTGGAGCTGCCAGCTCCGCCCTCGCCCTGGTGGCCCACGCACTGACACATCTGTCTCTTTACCTGCTCTCACAGTCAAAATATATTTCTTTTTCTTTGGTTTACAGGAAGGTGTGGGACTTACCTGCAATTCTTCATACTAAGAAAAGTTGTTGCTCCTGAGGGGCAGATCATGAGGCAAAGTGTATTAGTGGTGGTTAAACCGTCATTCTGAGGCAGTGCTTCTCAACTTGGGGCGATTCTGCCTCCACTTCCCCCAGGGACATACGGCAATGCCTGGAGAAACTTTCGTTTGTCACAGCTGGGGGAGGAAGTGCTGCTGGTTTCCAGTGGTAGAGGCCAGGGATGCTGGTACACAGTCTACAGTGCACAGGACAGTCCCCACAACGCCCCTTACGACATACAGCACACTTACCATTTATACTGCACTTATCTTATTTAGTCCTCACAACCACCACTTTAAGGATGAAGAAACTGAGAATCAAGAGACCCAAGAATACCAGAAAATAAGACAAAACTCTGAAGAATGACATCCTTTTGACATTTTCTTCAGATGAAGTAATGTCATAAATCCAAAGACAGAACTAATTTTGCACATGGGGGCGTTTATTTATCTGAAGGACATTCCCTCAACTCTCCACCCGCCTTGGGGTCTCTGTCCCTGGGATTTCTCCTTGTCTCCTTTGCTGCAGACACCAGTTCTAACTGCTCCTGGCTCTACAGCTCACAGAGATCTTAGCAAGACTAGGGTGGGTCTGGGTGACCATCGCTAACAATTCCCTTAACAAGCAAACTGCCTAAGAAGGGATTCCTTGAGTCTGGACTCATTGTTAGAATACCAAGATTGCAAAGGGAATTCGTTCACAGATGAGCATCACCTTTCCTATCTTCAGCTTTGCATTTCATAAGTGAAGATGGAATGAAAAGGTTAACTTATGCTGGGCTGCCCTTCTGTGGTAAAGTCCTTGACTTATTTAGAAGATAAAGGAAAAAAAAAAAGAAACTATTAATTAGCGAGAGCTTTCCTGATAATTATTGGGAGCATTCCCATGTGTTACTTTATATGACAAGTCACCTGAAAAATTTTAAATAATTTGAAGAAACAGAACCAAAAGAAAGGATATTACAGCAATAAATTTACTGGTAACACCTTTTTAATAGGTCAAAGTAACTGTACAGTTCATTATATTCTTCCTGAGAATAATTTATATCCCCCAACAAACTAAAGGGAGGGTGTATTTTTCAAAATTATTTAACAGAATGGATGGTGTAACTGGATGTCAAAAGAAAACCAAATCCCTCTGTTTTGCTTAAGTCTTTCGTGGGAAGACAGACACAATGAAGGGTTAGTTAACTCCAGTGGCTGTAAAATAGTCAACATGGCTTTAATCTTTCTTTATAAATTATATAAAAATGGGGAACAGGGATGGTTCTGGAACTTCTTCTCAATGCAGTTTGGAGGTGCGCTGGTACAAAGCATTTCTGCTTCCAAGAGAAATAACATTGCTACAAAAAACTGGCACATTATTCTGGTGAAAAAAGACAAGAGTTTTTAGTTGTGTTCTACAGCTAGTTCCCAACCGAATGCTTCACATGTCCACATGAAAGTACAAGGCAGGAAAGACAGAAAGGGTTGCAGTTTTTTTCTGAAATGACTCAAGTCTTCAAAATATAGCTTTTATATTCTTTCTTTGTAAAGTGGAATTAGCATATTGCAACTGAAGGGTGTTCTAATAACAAAAGTTCCAGTCTGGATAGTAATTCTATGGTAGGCAAAAGAACTCTCAGCCTCTTGGGTTTCCCAGAATTCTTCACTCCTGCCCTCCTTATCCACCACGCAGCTAAGCGAATTCAGGAACCAGCATGTCACCCCAGCCGTCCCCATTAGAACACATCCTAATGTGAACATAAATGTTCTCCATGATTCTTAAAAGCTTCTTATGTACAATTTTGATTCTCAGAAAAATGCCGTATTTTGGATCCCAGACATTTCTGAATATCATGATTATAACAAAACAAAAAACAAACCCAAATCAAAATGTGGTTAGATTTATATATGAGGGAGAAGATTTTCAACCAGATGTCATTTGAAAAAGTTGGAGCTGTAAGTGCTGGCGACTGAGGACCCAGGGTTAACTCCTCGCTGCTGGTGGAAGGCTGGAGAACATCCTGAAAGGAGGGGAAAGACGTGCTCCTCGGGGGGCTCAGTGCGGTCTTGCCTGCCCCAGCATTTTCAGTCTTGCTTGGTCAATGACGTCGAGTAAGTTTTTGGCGTCCACAGCCAGAGCGTGAGCAGCAGTCAGCATCTGCTTCTTGTACTCCTGCTGCAGGCTGGTCATGACATACTGCTGGGCCAGCTTCATCTTGTTAATGAGCTCGCCCAGGTCAGAGTTCAATAGTTTTTGTGCCATCTCAATCTGAAAGGACAAGACAGAGGTCAGGACAGCTGCTTCCAATGAACTTTTCAGGGAATTTTTATGAGCCTTTCTTTGGGTGTTTCCATGAGAAGAAACTTACTTTATTCTCCTCAAATAAATCTTCCTTAGAAGCAACAGGATTTAAACTCAATCTTTCCTTTAGAAACTCAGCCAGTGTAGTGTGCCTGTGTGTTCCCAAGCACACACACACCTAGCAGTCCCGGTTCCCTCCATTCAAAGCCCTTCCTGATACCATGACTGACTCTCCATTTTGTGATCATTGTTTAGAATTTCTTTTCTTTAGAGATGGAGTCTTGCTATGTTGCCCAGGCTGGAGTGCAGTGGCTATTCACAAGCGTGATCCCACTACTGATCAGCACAGGAGTTCAGACCGGCTCCATTTCCGGCCAGGGCCATTTTATCCCTTCTTAGGCAACCTGGTGGGCCCCTTCTCCCAGGAGGTCATACTGACGCTGAACTTAGTGCGGGCCCCCGATCAGCATAATGTGTTACAGCCCAGAACTCCTACGCTCAAGTGATCCTCGCACCTCAGCCACCCGAACACTGGGACTACAGGCGCATGCCACCACACCCGGCTAATTCTTTTATTTTTTTGTAGAGATGTGGTCTCACTTACTCAGGCTGGTCTCAAACTCCTGACCTCAAGCAATCCTCCTGCCTCAGCCTCCCAGAATGCTAGGATTACAGGCATGTACCACCATGCCTAGCGAGACTTTATTAATCTCAGTGACTGGTAGAACTTTTGTTTCATAACAGAATCACAGAATCTGACAGAATCTCAGAGATTATCTGGTTTAAACACTCTCACATCGGAGAGTGGACAACTGAGATGTAGAATACCCGCTGAAGGCCACACAGCTTGTCAGTCTCCAGTTTCATGCTTTTTCTACTACGTCGACTCCACGTTAAGACCTTCCTTTGCTATGTGAGAAATGGTTTAAGGATGTCATGGGACATACTTGCCCTGCCTTGTTGTAAGCTCCAGACTCTTCCAAACTTCTCAGAGGTTGGAAGTGGGGTAGCAGTGGTGGAAGCAGCTAGAGACTCTGCCCTACAGGGTTATAATGCTTTGTATGGCAGAGTCTCATGATTCTCCTTATCTATTTATTTAACCAATGATGATTTATGATTTATCCATTTGCTCTTTTATCAATTATTGGCCACTCCTTAGGCACAAGGCGCTTGGTGCTGTGGACACAAGAAGGAATTAGACATGTTTGTACTCACAGTCTGGAGGGGGAGCAGCATGCACAGAAGCCCCTATACTACACTGCAATAACTCATACAGTGGAAAGGCACACAGAGCAGAGGGCAATTTCTTCTGTCTCAGAGGATCAGGAAACTTCACAGAAGAGAACTTGTCTGAATCTGGCCTAGACAGTAAAAGTAGGCTGGCTCAACTGTGAAGGGCACCATAGGCTACGCCAAGTTGACTGTTATTCTGTTGAACTTGGCAATAGGGAGGCATAAGAGATATTTAGGAAGGGGAATGACATAATCTGGAGAGATGTTCTGGAAAGATGGCTCTGGTAGCTGTGTAGAAGCTGAACGGAAGTAGTGGAGAGTTAAGAGGCAGAGAAACTGTCTAAGGTTGTCACAGCAATTCAGGGCAGAGGTGAAGGTGGCTGTGAGGGTGAGAAGGACCAGTCTGAGACCTGGTAAGTGATGGAAGGTGCAAGGCTGTTTGAATTTGTGTGCGTAGGGAGTTGATGGGGGTGGGGGTGGTGAGTGCATGGTGGTGCTGACTATGGAAACGAGGAAAAGCAGATTACTCCTGCCAACAACAGACAGGTAGAGATCAGAGATCACAGATGTGGGAGGAATCAAATACTTGAATCTATGGAAGTGGGGAGGACTAACGAGGTGAAAAAGTATTATTTAAGAAAACAAGTGGAGAGCCTTGCATGGTGGTGTATATCGGCAGTCCCAGCTACTCAGGAGGCTGAGGCGGGAGGATCACTTGAGCACAGGAGTTCAAGGCTGTAGTGAGCTGTGACTGCACTCCAGCCTGGGCAACAGAGTGAGACTTCATCTCAAAAATAAGAAAAAGAAAAAGAAAACAAGTGGTAGCACCTTGGGAGATGACCACACTCAAGGGTGGCAGAAAACAAGAGCTGAGGTAGGGGTCTCAGCAGGAGATGAATGAGTGAGGAAGGCTCTGGATCCAAGGCAGGGCTCTTGAGGAGGAGTCAGGACAGGGGGACAGGGGAGTAAGGACCTGGCAATTGGGAAGCCTCTGGAGACCTCAAAAGGCAGTTACAGGAGACAAATTCCTAAACGGCTGGGAGCAGGAACTGAGTGTGGCTGCCAGGCAAGGGCTGCTCTTTCAGGAAGCACAGTGGGGCAAGGGGGAGGGAGGGGGACAGTGGGAAGGAGACACAGGATTGAGGAAAGGCTCTTCTTCTTTTAAAAAATAATACTTAAAAAATATGTAACTTATACAGGAGAGCAATCTGTGTATACAAGAATCGGGGCAGATAGATTACTTTAGGCTTTATCAGCTAGAGTAGGTGTTGACAAATGGTCCTGCCAAAACACCCACTTGTTAGGACACCATTTTCTTGCTTCTGGTATATGGAACCTCTCCACTTCTGGGCAAAATTGATGCTCATGATGGAAAACCAACCAGAGTCCCAATGAAACAAGTGGATGAGCTAATTCCCTATTTTGCTAGGAATTTAAAGTTATACTGTGGCAACTAGTCAGGGGCATTTCTAAAATGATTTAAATGGTTTTATGCAGGTGAACTGATGCCATTTACAAAGAAGCCACCAACTGTAGCTGTGTCCAACTGTCCTTCAGTAATCAATGCCCAGTTCATCAAAAGGAACATCACCTGGACATCACGTGCTTCCGGATATGATATCCTGAGAATGACTCAACATCATTTATGTAGTATTCCCAGCTGGAGGTACAAAAACATCAATCTAATCAGGAGGAAACACTGATTTTTTTTTTTTTTTTTTTTGAGACAGAGTCTCACTGTGTTGCCTGGGCTAGAGTGCCGTGGCGTCATCTTAGCTCACAGCAACCTCAAACTCCTGGGCTCAAGCGATCCTTCTGCCTCAGCCTCCCGAGTAGCTGGGACTACAGGCATGCGCCACCATGCCCGGCTAGTTTTTTTTTTTATATATATATTTTTAGTTGTCTGATTAATTTCTTTCTATTTTTAGTAGAGACGGGGTCTCGCTCTTGCTCAGGCTGGTTTCGAATTCCTGAGCTCAAACAATCCGCCTGCCTCGGCCTCCCAGAGAGCTAGGATTACAGGCGTGAGCCACCGCGCCCGGCCCGGAAACACTGATTTTTATAGAATATCACTCAACCTAACTTTAAGAATACTCTATAAAATAACTGAGCCTATATTTGTCAAAAATGTCAATGTCATGAAAGACAAAGGCTGAAGAACCATTCCAGATGGAAGGAGGCCGAAGAGACAGGACATGCGACGTGTGATCCTGGGCTGGCTCTCGTATGAGAAGGAAAGCACTATGGGGACAACTGCTGACGCTGCACATGACCTGCAGAGCGGTAGAGCGTACTGCGTCAGTGTTAAGGTTCTGGAAAATGGTGACCAGTGGTTATGTAGGAAAATGGCCTTATTATCAGAAAATATAAACTGAAATATTAAAAGGCGAGAGGCAGGATATAGACAGCCTATTCTAGAATGGCTCAGAAACAGTGATGTTTGTCTACTTACACAGACAATGTAGAGAGAGAATGAAAATGTACTGACATGTTAAAAACTAGTCAAGGAAATTTAGGAGTTCTCTGTATTAATCTTGTAACTTTTCTGTAACTTTGAAATAATTTCAAAATAAAAGAACAATAACAACAACAAAAAAACCAGTGCCCATGCAGCTCTAGAGAGAAGGGAGAAGGGTGGACAGCTGGAGTTGGAAGGGAGGGAGGCTGCAGCCTGCAGACCTGGGACTTCCCAATGGGGACGCACCCACCTGCACACGTCCAACTCCACCCCAGAGTGCATGCCTTTAGACTGCAGTAAACCAATGAAGGTGATGCCTTTCATTTGTCAGTCATATAAATGAAGCAAAATTGTCAAAAAGTGGCAAAATGATGATTGTTGCTGGGAGACAGTATCTTGGGTGAACTTTGATTCCTTAAAAAGAATGTAAGGAAGGAGATAGGACGCCCACCCCATTCATCTCAGCACCCTCCACTCTGAGGCCCACGGCAGCTCCAGCAACTTCTCAAGTGCTTTCCTTGTCCAATGCTCACAACCACCCTGTGTCTCAGGTGAGGACCCTTATGATGGCTCTGCAGAGGGCTGACAGTGGTAGAGCCGAGATCTGGAACCTGAGATCTGGGTGCCGCTCCACACCACCTCTGTGCTGTAAGATGAACGGCCCAGTCCTGGCTGAGGCCAGCATTAGCGGGAAGGTCATTGCCTGTAGGGCAGTCAAAGCCTCTGCTGGTCACGGACTGAGGAGATGTTGTCAGCACACAGCCATCCCTGGATATGTCCCCACCCAGTACTGTCAGAGAGAGCAGCAAGGGAGAGACTGTGCCCTACCTCTCGGTGGGTGCTGGCTGGTAGGGTGGGAATGGTCTCATCCACAGTGGCCAATAAAGTCCTCAAGGCCAAGCCGACTTCCTAACAGATAAGAATCACAACCAGTATTAGAGCATACACAAAGGAGTTTCATGCTGACACTGATAATTTTTCCTTTCAGTTATATATTTTGTTTCCTATCCACCAGTTTCAAAGAAAACTTCTGTATTTTTTTCTCAGTGCTGAACCCCATCTTGTAAGTTATAAGGCCTTCTCCCCAAAAAAGATTTAGATCTTACTTCTCATTGCTCTAATACCCTAAGGAATGGGCTAAAGAACAGAAGCTCACTGAAGAATAGTCAAACAGATGTTGAGGGTAGAAAGGACTTTTTCTCTTTCTTCTCATCTAGTGCTTCCTAACAGATTACACCATCCTCCTGGCTCCAAAATGCCAACTCTGCCAACACAGCTCAGGGTAAATGGTGGCACCTTTCCCCAAGTGTGTTCACTGGATTTGTTCTCTCTCAGGTACTTTTCAAAAGTCTCATGACCCCGCTGCCCCAGGTGCAAGATGGAGCCTCGCTTTGGAACCTACTCTGAATCTTATACTTCCTCCGTTATGAGCAAAAACACTCCTTCTCTGACATTTCTGAGCAGTAATGGGTCTAACTATGATTAAAAACATTCTAATTTTAAATTTTGATTATTGTCATTCTGACTAAAACACCAAATTAACCACATAATATGAATAAAACCAGCAAGAAAATGATAGTTATTTATACTTGCATCAGCATTAAAAGGAGTGTCATTTGGCCAAATTAATATGGTTTAAAAAGTAGCTTCTATAAAAGTACCATATAAAATCTTAATGTGTACAAAATTCTGAATGCTTTTGTCTACTGTTGAGTTTTTTGAAACTTGGCTGTGAGTTTAGGCAAGTTCATCCTTAAAAACTGTGGTTATAACTGCTATGGGAATACAGTTAAAAAAATGAACCAGAATGGATTAAATGTGCTTTCCACAAAATGTCACAACTCTCAAGCAGTTTTTTCCACGTTGAGCATTTATATTAATAAGAAGCTGTTATAAAGACTGCTAACTGGTATACTAAAAAAGAGTGTTCTATCCTATAACACGACAATAAAAAAAACCCAATCAAAAAACTTGAATAGACATTTCTCCAAAGAAGACATACAACATGGCCAAAAAGCATGTAAAAAGCTGCTCAATATCTGCATTTGAAAAAACCACAATGAGATACCACCTCACACCTAATAGGATGACTACTATTAAAAAAACACAAAAACCCAAAACTCAAACCCCAAAATAACCCCCAGAAAATAACAAGGGTTGGTGAGAATATGGAGAAACTGGAACCCTTGTGCACTGTTGGTAGGAATGTCAAACGGGGCAGCGGCTGTGTGAAACAGTTTGGCAGTTAATCAGAAAATAAAAAAATAGAACTGCCATATGATCCAGCAATTCTACTTCTGGGTATATACCCAAGAGAACTGAAAGCAGGGTTTCAAAGAGGTATCTGTACACCCATGTTCACAGTAGCATTATTCATAACCAAAAGGTAGAAACAGCCCAGTATCTACTGATGGATGAACATACAAACAAAATGTGGAACACGCACAGTGGAGTATGACTCAGCCTTAAAAAGGAATGAGATCCTGACACATGCCGTAATGTGCATGAACCTTGAGGACACTATGCTGAGTGAAATAATTCAGTTGCAAAAAGACAAATACAGTGTGATTCTACTTATGAGGTACCTGGAGTAGTCGAATTCATAGAAACAGAAAGCAGAATGGGGGTTGCCAGGGCCTGGGGGAAGGGGAAATGGGGAGTTGATGTTTAATGGGTAACAGTTTTAGTTTTGCAAGGAAAAAGTTTTGGAGTTGGATGGTCATGATGACCACACAACAATGTACATGTGCTTAATGCACCTGAAATGTACACTTAAATGGTTAAGATGGTGCCAGGCGAGATGGCTCATGCCTATAATTGCTACTCAGAAGGCTGAGGTGGGAGGAGCACTTGAACCCAGAGTTCAAGACCAGCCTGTGCAACAAAGCAAGACTTCCATCTCTAAAAAATAGTTAAGGTGGTAAAGTTTATGTGTATTTTTACTACAACAGAAAAAAGTGTGTTCAAGTAAGTTTCAAAAGTACTGGATTAGAGCAAAGTTTAACAACACTCTTTGAATTGCAGGACACCTCTGTGTATCCAAAGTGCCAGCATACACTCCTTAGCAGAAGGCACTGCTGACATTTTCTGAACCTAGCATCCTTTCTCACAGAGCACTGTTACCGTCTCCCAGGACCCAATCCACTGAACACAATCTGAGGAATGTTAGTTTACTGGCGTAATTTTTATTTTTTTTTAATTAAAAAAAAAAAAAAAGACAGTTCTTGCTCTGTCACCAGGCCACAGTGCAGTGGTGTGATCATAGCTCACTGCAGCCTTCAAGTCCTGGGCTCAAGGATCCTGCTGCCTCAGCCTCCTGGGCAGCTGGGACTACAGGCATGCACTACCACACTTGGCTAATTTTTCTATTTTTTGTAGAGATGGGCTCTCACTCTTGCTCAGGCTGGTCTTGAACTCCTGACCTCAAGCAATCCTCCTACCTTGGTTTCCCAGATTGTTGGGATTACAGGTATGAGTCACCATGCCCAGCTGTCTAATTTTTAAAAACATTTTTATAAGAGAGATGGGGGTCTTGCTGGGTTGCCCAGGCTGGTCTCATCCTGGCATGAAGCAATCCTCCTACCTTGGCCTCTCAAAAGAGATCAAAGTAGATTGCATAAGATAATTGGGTTTTTTTATTTGTAAGGGATACAGTTCAGTTTGAGGATGACAGTAATAATTCCTGAGTGACAATTAAATGAGACAATAATTTTTTCTCATTTTGAGCTCAGTTAAAGGAAATGATGTGGAATTATACACACTACACTAAAAATCCCAGATTCTTTCAAAAAAGTGATTCAATGTCCCCTCACCCACAAATCATTCACAAGAGAAATAATCCATATACTTTACATCTCTCTGAGGACTTAGTGAATTTTACAGAAAGTTATTTACAAGCGTGAGTCACTGTACCCAGCCTCTTTTTTAAAAAAATTCAATGAGCACCCACATACCCAACCCTCAGCTTAGGAAAAACAACACAGATAAATCCCCCCAATATACCTTTTCTTAACTGCCTCTTCCTCAGAGGTCTAGTATCTGAATCTGATATTATCATTCCTATATGTTTTTGTACTTTAACAACATAACTGTATCTAAGTCTTACACAGGATTGTTCTGCAGGTTTTTCAACTTTATGTGAGTGGCATCATACTGTAAGTACTCTCATGCAGCTTCTTTTTTTCCTAAAGACTGTATTTCTGAGCAATAATTATTAAAACACTCTGCACTGCTTCAAGACATTCGTTTCCTAGTGTTTATTAACAGGAGAAAACAAGACAGGTACAGCAATTCATAATGATCTTGGTTCTTATTAACATTGCCACTGTATGATGCCTTCCTTCAGGTAGACCTTCTAAACCATCAGGTCTGACTTTGGGGGGCACCTAGAGACACCTATCAACTGGTACCACATCTTCCACAGGGATCAATATTTCTGCTGGTACATGACGTGACTGTGTTTTACCTTCACCATAGGAACATATTCCTCTGGCGGTGCCGGCTGGATTTTACTGGACATCTCGATGACAGCTTTCACCAGGCCCGTCACATTCTCATACACCTTGTCATTGGACCTGTCCAGGTTGGCAGTAGGAGGGGGGCTGATTTCCTGGGGCTGCAGCTGACAATACAGAAGCTGGTCATTTTCCTACTTTCCAGTAGATGGCATGATATCACCACAATTAACTTAGAGAGCTCGGTCTTTAAAAGAGATCAAAGTAGATTGCATAAGATAATTGGGGTTTTTTAAATTTGTATGGGATACAGTTCAGTTTGAGGATGACAGTAATAATTCCTGAGTGACAATTAAATGAGGCAATAATTTTTTCTCACTTTGAGCTCAGTTAAAGGAAATGATATGGAATGATACACACTACACTAAAAATTCCAGATTCTTTCAAAGAAGTGATTCAATGTCCCCTCACCCCCAAATCATTCACCACAAGAGAAATAATCCATATATTTTACATCTCTCTGAGGACTTAGTGAATTTTAGAGAAAGTTACTTACTTGGCTAAAGAGTCAAACATTCTAAGACTAAAAATTTCTACTTAGTTTGAATTCTGCAGAAAAGCTGTATGGCTCAGCTTAGCTGCCCTCAAACTACCTAATGGAAATGTGCCATCATTTTATGATTCCAAAAAGCTCACAGACACTAGCAGACAGCACCTGCTTGCAGAGCTTGACTGAAGTCAAAGCAGTGGTGGTGTTGCTAGGAGCCTCCCTGCCAGAACCTGGCTTCAGCCAGCTCTGCGCTGACCGCACCTGGGCCTACACTGACAAACCTCAGCGCCCTCACCTGGGCAATGGTGATGAGGGGAGATGAAGCCACAGATGTAAAAGTGCACACCCAGGTCCTGGGCAAAGAGGGGACATCAACAAATGTTACCCAAGACAACCTGAGAACTAATGGTTGAATGAGGGCCTTTGGCAAATCTTCAGCAGTATTTAAAAATTCAAATGGGCTAGAATTACACTAGGCACAGAGAGGACAGTGTGTGTGTATGTATGTGTATTTTAAAAAAGACTAAACTGCAGTACATAACAGGTGTTCAATCATGAACTTGCTGCCAGTGCTCAGTCTAAAACTCCAAATGCCCATTTCTGAACCCTCAGGTGCCTTTGCCCAAGTAGTCTGGAACAGATTAATTCTCTTCTTTGTTGTTCGAAAATCTGGGTGTGAGGAAAGGACAAGAATAATACAATTGTTGTGAAGATGTTTATGTCTCATTTTTTGGTAAACAGAAATGCTGTTTTTGGCATCTGTCAGTCACAAGAGACCACGAACCAAGCAGAAGTGCCCTCCCACTGGGCCTCCTGCTTTCTGTTCCAGAGTCACATGCAGAGCGCTGGGTGTGATAAAGAGAGTTGGACAGACACACAGAGACACAATGTGCTTACCCTCCACGGCTATTGTCGAACGGAAGGTGAGGAAAAGTTAAAGGATTTTATCAGAGAAAGGGAAAAAAGAAAAACAATATTAATAAAGGCGTCAGACAAAACCCCCATAAAAACACATGAGCAGAACAAAAAGGAGCTAGTTTCCAAGCCTGCCTCCCTGCTTCTCAGCTCCCCGGCTCCGAGGCGCAGCTGCGCGCCCTGGGCTCCGTGTCCAGCACGCAGAGTGGAGGCCTGCCATGCACCATGCTGGCTCTCACACGACACACGGGGAGAGCAACATGCAAAGCCTGAGAGGAAGAGTCCGGCAGCAGTGCAAGATCAACAGAATTAGGGCTCTTCAAAGAGAAAAGAGGAGGATGTGTTTTTAATTACTAAAAACTGTCCATCTGAATTCTGAGATTCAGGAGAAACTGCACAACCCTCAATTCCCATGCCCTGACCCCTCAACATCCTTGGAAGCCTGCTTCGTCATCTAGCCTTCCTGCCATAATAAAGATTCCTGGCTTGGGGCTGCATTTATTTTATTTATTTATTTTTCATGGCTTCATTCTTTTTTTTTTTTTTTTGAGACAGAGTCTCACTCTGTTGCCCTGGCTAGAGCGAGTGCCGTGGCGTCAGCCTAGCTCACAGCAACCTCAAACTCCTGGGCTCAAGCGATCCTTCTGCCTCAGTCTCCCGAGTAACTGGGACTACAGGCACGTGCCACCGTGCCCGGCTAATTTTTTCTATTTTTAGTTGTTTGGCTAATTTCTTTCTATTTTTAGTAGAGATGGGGTCTCGCTCTTGCTCAGGCTGGTCTCGAACTCCTGAGCTCAAACGATCCGCCCGCCTCGGCCTCCCAGAGTGCTGGGATTACAGGCGTGAGCCACCGCGCCTGGCCATGGCTTCATTCTTTATTGAAATTTTTTCCTTTTCTAATAATAAGAATTTAATTTTATGCTATATAGCACTTGAGGTTAATTGGGATTTTACATTTTAGACCACAGCAATACTCTGAATAATCTATGTTATTTGAAAGGTTTTGTTTATCATCTAATTATTATATTTGCTATCATCCAATTATTATATTTGTTAAATTTACAATTGACGTTTTTACTACAATAATAATTTCTGATATTAGGGCTGCATTTAAAAACATTAGGAGCTTTTTAAAAAAACAAAACAAAGTACCCTACAGTATTCAGTAGAACAACATACTGTACATGTTTGTAGCCTGGGAGCAATAGGCTATACCATATTAGCCTAAGTGTGCAGTAGGCTATACCATCTAGGTCTGTGTATGTACACTCTCATGTTGGCACAATGATGATATCCTCTAATGATGCATTTCTCATAATTTATCCCCATCGTTAAGTGACACATGACTGTACTGTAATGTGTTCAACCATTCCCCTCTTGATATTCAGGCTGCTTCCCCCCTCCCCCCGACAATGTGATTTAATTATTTAATTATCATTTTATACCATGCTTTTCTTTATGTATGCAAGTTTCCTCAAAGAATATGTGCATTTTAAGTTCTGACAGAGCCAGATGACAATGTACAAAAGTGCCAGTTTTCTCTACATTATAAAAACTGAAGGTAATCAGTCTTCAACTTCTATGAATCCAACTGGCAAAAAATATTCTCTTATTTGCTGTTTTAATTTAACTTCTGGCAAGTTGAATACATTTTTTGGTTTGAGTTTTTTAATTCAAATAGATTTAGTGTAGACAAGTGGTTTTTTAATATATGGATGAATTGCAAATAAATTATTACCTACTTATTAAAACAAAACAAAGTAAAACAAAAAATTCTCCTTTTGAACTGATTCTTATAGTTAGGTTCCACTGCTTTAAACGGAGTAGTTTTATCAAATGTTTCTTTTCTAAAGCTCAATCTGGGGCTATCCTACTGTAACTGAACAGCCAAAATGAACTGGGGAAATGTAGATTTGTCTTTCCTTAGATTTGTCTGAAAGAAAATCTGCCCTTTGGTATACAAGTTTTGAAGAATCTTAAATTTAGAGGTTCAATCCTTCACAATGTTTTTCTTGTGCACTAGAAAGAGGAAGGTAATTTATAACCACATCATTGCCAAGAGATGACTTGCCATATTTTATTTTCTGTACTGAGAGTCATGGTGCAGTCTTCTGTTTAACTTTGCAGTATGTGCCAGTTCAAACGACACTAAAAAGAAAAGCCACGGGGCTTTCTGAGGAGGGTGCCACAGGGTGAGTTCCATCAAGAAAAAATACAACAATTCTATAATTCTAGGGAGGTGGAAGGAGGTTTATTTTAACCTGTTTAAAGCTTTTGTACTTTGCCTGATTCTTGTCATAGAAGGGTACTGTCATGATGTTTCTAGGGACCATTCATACTGATATTCCAGAAGTAAAATCTCAGTTTGGAGAGACATCCTATTGGTTTCCTATTTTCTGGAGCTTGACAACTTGGAAATTCCTTGGCAGGGAGTTAATGATAAAAACACCACTCTCCACAAGTAGAGCCAATTCCAACTTAAAAGTTAATGCTTAAAGACTAAGAGAATTAAGAACCAAAACATGAAGCTACCAAGGAAAAACTGAGACTTATTTTTGACTACATCGTATTTGGATGAATTATTTTAGTTATACATAGTTAAATGTAAGCATTTCGGTATTAAAACAATATTGTTCTTTTAAGCCGGATTCAGTAAACTCTACCAAATGGATAATAAAAGCCATTTTGAAAGTTTGCTCTTATGGCTTATGAAAATGAAAAATGTTCATTAACCTAATTTTCCCCCCTTTCTTTTTAAGAGATGGTGTCTTGCTATGTTGTCCAGGCTGGACTTGAACTCCTGGGCTCAAGCAATCCTCCTGCCTCAGCATCCTGAGTAGCTGGGACTCAAGGCGTGTACCTCTGCACCTGGAGCATCTCTGGCCCAGTTGTACTTGCACTATGCCCCACAGGAAGCAGGCTAGTCTGTGGTAGTGCCAGCCTGCTCACTCTCTGATCATCTCTACAATGAACACTGGCAAACCTCTGTACTCTGAGTTGCAGGCTATCACCCTGGGCCTAGAGATGATATTTTCTCTTCCCTATGACTGACTCTCTGACTCCTCTGAGAGGCCAACAGTATACTGACTTCTAACCAAGAATCAGCCAGAGTTGGCTTTGCAAGTGGAAACCTCTCAGTAGAAGCACACAAGTCAAGTGTACAGTCAGCCAGGCCTATGGCTAAATGCTGGCTCAGCTACACGAAGGCTGTGTAACCTTGAATAAGCTGCTTAACCTTTGTGAACCTTCATCTCATACGAAAAGTGATACTACCACCAATCTTGTGAGGTTGATGCGAGAATATAAAACACATGAAAAAGGTCTGTCATAGCACTTGGCACAGGGAAGGCACTCAATAAATGGTGGTTACTGATAAAACAAAATTTATCTTAACCTGATACCATATTTTTTCAGATTTTAAGATGCACTATTTTTAAATGTACCACTAAGACAAAAAAAAATACTGCCAATTAAGCCCATACATTATCCCAATTTTAGAGATATTAAAATGTGAGAAAAAAGGGTATATCAGTATTGAGAAATAAGATATATTTTGGCCGGGCGCGGTGGCTCACGCCTGTAATCCCAGCACTCTGGGAGGCTGAGGCGGGATCGTTTGAGCTCAGGAGTTCGAGACCAGCCTGTGCAAAAAGCAAGACCCCGTCTCTACTAAAAAAAATAGAAAGAAATTAGCTGGACAACTAAAAATATACAGAAAGAATTAGCCGGGCATGGTGGCGCATGTCTGTAGTCCCAGCTACTCGGGAGGCCGAGGCGGGAGGATCGTTCGAGGTCTGGAGTTCGAGACCAG